TGGATGATCTGGTGAACTGGAAAGTGCCTTGAGATGACATGATGTGAATTGGAGCTATAGAAATAAACTGAATAGAATTGAAATTGATTCAAAAACATTAAAATCTTTTTTGTTTTTTTAGGAATCATAGTCCAACAATAAATACAAATATTTCTGCCATTATTGGTTTATTCCCATTTCTGACAGGAAGGGATCTGATCACTCTGTGGAAGAAAAACACTAAATAAGTTGTTTGTTCTTTCCTCCATGCAGTGATGCGTTTAAACTAACTGAAGCACATAGGGTGCATTTCTGACTGTGCAACAAAACACAACAATTATTAGTTCACAAACATCCGACTGCTGCTGAGACGACATAAAAGGAAGAGTTCTGTGTGCAAACAGTAAAATAACCCAGAAGCTTCCAGATCCTGTCCTGTTTTCTTAAAATAAGTGCAGTTTTTTCTTGAATTGAGGAGGTAAGTGAGACACTTTGCCTATGGAGTTAGACCAGTTAGCTTTGAAATAAGAAAAAACAAAAATTGTATTGTCTCATTGCTTATAATCTTATTACCCGATTTTAAGAATAAATATACTAATTCCATTGGTAAATCATCTAATTTAACTACTCAAATTAAGGGTAAATACATTTAACCCTTTATAGGGCCTCAGTGAAGTACTTTGAAAATGAAATTATAAGCTAATAGTGTTATTGGAATCCAGGAAGACCTTATTACCTTTTTAACATTCAAAAAATAGGGATATTTAGATGGTAAAAATGAATGTCAATGTAATAAAAAGAAACGCCAACTTCCCCGAATATATTAAGAAAAATAACAAAAGTGTTTCTATAAGAAATCCATAAAAAAACACTCTGAAAGTGAAAGAAACATATATTTTTTGGTCCAACATAACCTTAGAGGCATTAATGCTGATACTGGCACTGACATTTTTTAGTTTATAAACCTAAATATAAACAGTTAAATAGAATTACTAACTTTTTAACTTTACTTTTTAACTTTTCAATCAGCTTTTTACCCTTTTTTCTTAACTTAATTTCCACTAGTTAATCTATCATTCAAGGGCTCATCTAATTGGTCAGATGACAAAATCAGATGTAGCAGGATCTATGCTGAATGGCTGGATATAGATCCAGTGCTTCTAGACCTCACTGAGGGATGGGGGGGTCCATTTGTAAGGGGGATACAGGTGATCAAAAACGCTAACTTGCCCTATAAATGGTTAATTTAAGAGATTATTCCTTTCATTTTTTCTTTCTAGGTGTTTTTTGCAGCGTGTCCACCAGGCTGCATCTGTGACCTTCCTGGAAACAATCCTCTGACTGAGTCCTTCCATGTTGCGTCTCTGTGTTTCTGCAGACTGAGCTCCCTGCAGCTGCAGAGATGCATAATCTGAAGGATTCATCTGTCTGCGTGCGAATGTGGGCACCTCAACAATGATGTCTCAGAGCAGGAGGTCAGAGCGCTCTGACCTTAGCGGGGGTCTGACTTCTCGCCACCAAAACCACAATGATCCCTCATTCACAGCCGCTTCATGACGTCTGGATTTGGAAAATATTCCACTGCTCTTTGAATCAGGAACGTTTGCATGAATAAAAGATTTAAGGGAAAACAGAGCAAAACTGCCCCCCTGTGGTTGACAGACATACTGCAGGCCGGCAGCAGCTCCTTTACCTGAATGGGTCTGCCGTCCTCAGAGCCGATCATGTTCCTCCATTCCATCAGCGAGCGCTGCAAGGTGTCCAGTCCCGTCTCCCACTGCCGGACGTAGCCCCCCATGTCCACTGTGACCACGCCTCCGGAGCCCAGAGCCGCTACCAGCACGTCACAGTCAGAGACCTTGGACAGCCAGTTGGTGTAGGGCGACACGGTCATCGACCTGCATCAGACACGGCAGGAACCTCAGAGGGTCACATTAACCACAACCCTAATGGACAACACTAACTCCTGTCTGAGAGGCTGCATCAGCTGTATCCATGGAAACGCCTCAGATTATAGTTAAAGCTCGTTTAAATCCATCGTCTCCGAGCAGGTTGTTCTGTAGTTTTCCAAATCTGACTCACCGACTCTAAATTCTAGGAAAACATCATGATGCTTTTATTCTGGTTCTGCATAACGAACACAGACTGAGACCTTCGGGGAAACTAATA